GGAAAGGAGGGGAGACGGCGGGGGCGGAGGGGTCCGCGGCGCGAAGGCCGACTGTGGCCCGGCTGTGACCCTGGCTCACCGAATTGCTGGGGTGGGGACCAGCAGCCTAACTTTGGGTCCAGGGCGCGGGCAGGGCCTGCAGGCTGAGAGCAAGTCGGACCCTGGCAGAGGCCCCACCCCGCGTTGGGGGAACGGGAAGGCAAGGTCTGGGGACCCCGTGAGGCTCAGCATTCCCGGCTCAGGTTTCCTGAGCACCAACGATGCACTAGGCGTTCCTGCAGAAGTGGGCGCCGCCTGTCCTGGGCTCAGCACGTGGAAGCTGCTTACTGGATTTTTCTAGTGCCACCTAGGCCACCGAGTGGACACAGGATAGCAAGTCTCTGCACCTCACCGGGCCTCAGTTTATCGTTTTGTACAATAAAAGGTTGGACTAAATTAACGTCATGGCAGTTGAGAAGTGAGCTGAGGCACTAGGCCTGCTCTTTTCTCCCTTTGCAATGGTGCTTCCTACCAGGTTAGGCCAGATGGCCCCCGGGGAAATTAGGGTAAGACGCCCTCGGGTGCACCTAGAGGCTTTAGGGCTGCCTCCTTGTTGGGTGAAGTTGCGGTAGGAGGTGGGTGAGGTGGGGTGCAAAAAACTCACTGCCGTGAGTGGGAACGGACGGTATCACTACGGAAGTAGATTGCACAATGACCGATGGGTTTGAATCCCAGTCTTCTGGCTAGTAGTCAGATGCCTTAGGCACTATGCCACCAGCACTCCTAAACAGAGGTGCGAAAGTTTACATGCAGGAATCTGCTGAACAGAGATTAAATTAGAAAAAGAACACACAAATTTTTTAGAAGATCATTTTAATTCATGATTAACACCATTTAGGTTATTGCAATCACGCATGTCAAATGAATGAAGAATGGACCCAAAATTGATTTTTGAAGACTTTTTTTTTTTTAAACAGTATTTTCACATCCTTCCTTTCTGAATGGCCTTTTTTGCAGCAAAAGTGTCCCTGCAAAAATATTTGCGAGCTTCCTCAAACCTAAAGGTTGCTCTGAATTCTTTGACAGTCAAATCATTCTTGTAAGTTCTTGGTCATTTCCCTTTATCTATATGCTTGTTCTCTGTGGTCAGCAGCTGCTTGGTTTCTTCAGCCTCACTTCTATCAACTTCATGAAATCCCACACTTTTTGCAATATTTGCAGTTTCACTTGTCGGTTCATTGGCTTTTGGATTCACTTTGTGAAGCTGGACATTGACAGCGTGTGATAATCGCCTAGACACAGATTTTGGTGGAGATGTGTGGGATTTGAGAGGGACTAGTCTGTCAGTGTTGCAGGGGCCAGCCTTTGCTTCCCATGCACCCTGGATCTGTGAGAATCAGATATTGAGTGCTCAGAGAACAAGGACCCCTTCCTCTAGCATCCCCACTTTAAGGGCTCAGAGAAGGGGCTGTGACTTACCCAGCACCCCACAAATAGTAAGTGATGATAGTGGGTCAGGGACCCAAACAAAGTTCTTTCCCAGAGTTTCTGGAGGTGAGAATAGGAATGGAGAAGGTGTTGAAGCTGAAGTTGATGGTGTACGTAAACTCCAACTATAACCTCGTCACAATGGGATCTTCTCTCTTCAAAGAAGAATATTACTGCTCTGGGTGCATCTTCTGTGGGAGGGGTGGATGGGAGAACCCACAGACTCATGGAGCTAAGACAGAGGCTGACCCTAGGCTTGGCAGTTCATGTGAGTTACCTCAATTTTCCAGCCACCCTCTGAGTATCACCACCATCTCATGGTAGGAAAGTGAAGATAAGGATTAAGACAGCTAGGGTCAGACAACTGGGATACCTCAGAGCCCAGATCTGACTTTTCTATTTTACTGTAATTATGGTTAAGTGCTTGACTACTAGCTGAAAGGTTGGTGGTTCAAACACAGCAGAGGTCTTCAGAAGAAAGCAGTCTCCTTCTGGAAGGTTATAACATTGATAACCCTATGGAGCACAGTTCTGTCCTGACACACACAAGGTCACCTTGAGTCAGAATTGATCCCAAGGCTGCTGGTAAAGACAACTTAGCCCTAAGCTGGGGCTTCCCCTGGATGCAACTAAGGGGAGAGACTTGAGAAGTAAATGAGTTTTTTTCATGGTGTGTCTTGGTTTATCCAATGTCCTGTAGAGGGTCCCACCCATAGTCATCTTGCATATGAGTAGCCCCCCCAGAAGGAGAACTTCCCTAGGGATAGTGTGTGGCTTTCCCAAGTTGGGGACTAGGACAGGGCTTGCTCTCCTCCCTGCGTGGGGGACTGAGGAGGAGACGCAAGCCTTCTGAAGCTTCAGTATCCAGAATGCTTGTAGGGGAGCAGGAGGCAGTGAAATCTTCCTGAGGAAGCAGGACTTGAACCTTGAGGGATGGAGAGGAGCAGCTGGGCCAGCGTAGGGAGGGGAGTATGGACACAGCAAGCACGTCCAGGAGTGGGTCGAAGCGGAAGTGGGGCTAGGTTATGAAGGCAATAAGGAGCTATACTGGCTCATGAGCAGGGGAGTGTCTGGGCAGTGAGTTCAGTGAATCTGAAGTGCAGGGACAGGCAACTACCCCCTCTTCCAACTAGGGCAGCACAGGTTGGAAAATGGAAGGGCTTCTGGTGGGCAGGGCCTCCTTCTGGGCCTTGAGAGTACCTGCCTGGGCTCACATTCAGGGTGAGGAGGAAGACTTGTGGTGCAACTTTCGAGATGGCCAGCAGACCTCAGAGCCTGCAGGTCAAGGTCTGGGTCATGGCCACAAAAAAACAAAATCAAGGGCTGTGCTGGTATGTCTCGCTACAGTTAGGGTGGGAGGCTTGGCTCGGTGGGCCTGGCACCCCAGAAATCTCTCTGCCTTCTAAAGAGCACCCCTCCTTTCTCCTCACAGAGGCCACCTGTGTTTGCTGCTGGGCTGGGCTTGGTCTGATGCTGAAAGGGCCTAGGGGTGAAGACAGAGAAGAGGGGGCCGTGCTGACACATGTCTGGGTTTCTTTGCACCCCATCACACTCCTGGGGGCAGAAGAGTGCATTCCTGAGTTGGAGTTTTCCTGGGGCCCAGGTGAGAGAGAGCAGCCTGCCTCCCCTCCACCAACAGACACAGACACAGACACACACACACACACACACGCACACACAGCTCCCATTCCACTGTGGGTTCTACAGAAGACGTGGCTGGTGGAGGCCAAACTCCTTGAGGCTGCATGTCCTGGGAGAAGCTGTCCTGTCTTCTAGCCTCACTGGTCTTCTGGCCTCTTCTGAGCTCTACTCCCCCCTAGGCCCTTCCCGAGAGAGCTCTGAGGCTTAGCCAACACAGGTCAGACCCCTGGCCATCTGTGAACTGTGACAGCTTTTCTCCAGCTCTCCAGCAACTTTGCCAGCATTACCTGTATAAGCCCCATACCAGCCTGTAGGCTGGGGTCCCTGATGAACATGGTTAAATGCTCGACTATTGGCCGATCAGTTGGTGATTCAAACCCACCAGTGGTGCTTGGGAAGCCAGGCCTGCACACGTGGAGTCACCTTGAGTTGATGGTAACTAACAACATCGACCCCAGGAGGTGGTGCTGCAATTGTCTCCATGTTATGGTGAACTGAGGCTTAGGGAGTTTAAGTCACCAGCCAGTGACTGATGGCTCTGGTCTTTGAACCTAGGCAGCTTGGCTCCACAGCCCCTGTTGCCTGAGGTCCCTGCCACCATCATCGTTCTTCCGCATTGACCGTGAGCTCAGGCAGAGATCATTCTCCTTGTTGTACAGGTTGGCAACTTGAGGCTCAGAGATGATATCTCTTGCCTGAGCACAGAGCTGCGGTGGTGGTGTGAACCCTGCAGGGTGCCCGCATTGCCTGGCTCTCCTCCCTCAGCCCAGCTGACACCAAACACCTCTGCAGAGGTGCAGCCATCCCCAGGAAGTGCTGCAGGCCCTGAGATCCAGGGGTGAGGCTGGGTGGAGCCTCTCATCTCAGAGGAAGCAAAGAGGCTGCCGCCTGTGAAAGGAGAAGTGAAGTGGGAGTGTGGGCCTGGGGTGAGGAGAACAGTGAAGTGAAGGGGGCATGTGGCCGTGAGGTGAACAGACCAGAGCTGTGACATGGGCCTGGGCCGTGGGTGAGCAGAGCAGACAGAGGCTGCCTGCGGCGCAGTGGTTCCCATTTTTCCTTCTCGTTCTTTCTTCAGACTTCTCATCCTTCCTACAGACAGCACCGGCACGGCCAAGAGCAGCAACGGCTTCACAGGTTAGCCCTCTGTCCTTGTCTGCGGCTCCCCCACGGGCACTGGGCTTCCCCTGCCCAGGCTTGCCTGGCAACATCCAGGAGCAGCAACCTAGGGACCCACCCTCATTCCTTTCACCAGGTCTTGACCCCTTGGGGAATATAGTTGGTTTTTGAAAGAAGAGCTAATATTGAAGACTGGTTAAGAGATGAGGCTTTGGGTTCAAATCTTAGCTACCTTGTGTAACCTGGGGCAAGTTTCTTGACTTCTCTGTTTTGGGCCTCAGTTGCCTCCTCTGTAAAATGAGGCTAGACCCAGAACGTGTGCCTTGGGTGGGTGACAGGAGGGTGTGTGCTTAGCATGGAGCCTGGTACAGAGTCCGTGATCCATGAATCAGAGCAGGTGCTGCTCATCCCAGAGAAACCGAGGCTGCAGCTTGGAGACAGCATATCAGGGGGAAAGGTCACCGTGATGGCCTAGTCACAGACTCCCTGTGAGGCCTTATTTTCCCTTCCTGTGATGTGGGCTAAATAGCCCCTCTCAGGACTTTCCTGCATAAACCACTTGTCATCCAGGCCACAGTGAGGTCAGAACCTGGGGCCTCAGAATGGGCTTGGCAGGGG